AGGTAGAATACCTTTTTTTTTTTTTGGAAAAAAGTTCATTTAATGCGAATCTCCTCTGTTATTTTTTTTCTTTTGGTTGGACTGGGGTTTGAACTCAGGACTTTGAGCTTGCAAAGCAAGTGCTTTGCAGCTCGTGCCATGCCACCAGTCCATTTTGCTCTGGTTATTTTGGAGATGGGGTCTCATGCACTATATGGCCCAGCTGCCCTCAAATCTTGTTACTCCCAAGTAGTTAGGATTACAAGTGTGGGCCACCAGCACTCAACTTCTGTTCTCTTTTTAAAAACATGATTTTAAAAAGCAATTTGAGGCCATTATAACATTTAAGATATTTTGGAATCAAGAGCCGGTAAAGTGGCTCAAGTGGTAGAGCACTTGCCTATCAAGAATGAGGCCCTGAGTTCAACCCCGAGTATTGCTGCCCAAAAAAGAAAATTTTGGATGGAAACGAGAATAAACATGATCCACAGACCTACCTAGTAAAACTATTTCCATTTTATAGTGTGGAGTTTGAAGGTTGGACTTACAAATCATTTAGTTTGAAAATAAAACTCTGACTGCTTCTGGTTTCTAGTGGTAATTATTTTAAAAATTATTTCATAAAACTAGAAGTAAATCATAAACCAATAATCTTGGATTCATAGACCTCTATTTTGGAAGTATCCATGCCTGTTTTAGTCAGTGAAGTAAAGCACTGTTTTCTTGGTGGAACAGCAGAATTGATGTGTCATCTTTTGGGGACAGGGCCGAGGACTGCTGTACAAGTATTGGGTGTTAAGGAGTCTTTCTGTCTTCAGTCTTTACATGTTTGGGGACCGAGGGAGGGTGTTTATGATTATGCTAGGGGAATAGCACAAGCTGGATGCCCTCCTGGGGGCTCTGAGACCTGGAAGTGGGGTGGAAGGTCAAATATGGACGTGGTCCACATCAGAACAAACCCTGTAGGTGGTGAGGCTAACTTGTGTTGGTGGGATTTAGTGAGGGAAGGTTGGTGGGGTCAGGGGATGACTCCCAGTAAGAGGTTGCCCTTCAGCTGGACTTTCCACAGGAAAGCCCGAGAAGGTGTATCCGAGAGATGCAGGCCAAGATGGGCAGAAGGATAAGCCTGGTGAGGGAGGAAGAATGTGCTCAGGATCCTTAGCAGGCTGTGCCTAAGGAGAGGCAAGCTAGACCTGAGGCAAACAACTGGAAAGGAATTCTGTGAACACTTTTCCCAGTGCATCTAAGGCCAGTGTTGGCTGCCTCTGCTCTGTCCTGGATTTGGAGGCCAGGATGGTGTGGTTAAGTGGGTGGTTTTGGGGCCAGTGGCTCTCAGGTTTAGGAAGTGGGATGAGGAGGAGAGAGGGATAGGGAGGTCTTTAAGAGGGGAATGTCCTCTCTTCCAGGTGGTAGAAGGCTTGTTCAGGGTGGGATATCAGGAGTGGAAGGGGACGCAGGATGTGTGGTGGCTAGAACTTGTTGCTGGAGAGGGAGAGCTCAGGCAGGAACGTGTTTGGGAGACATGAGAACCGTTCACAGAAACAGGAAGTGGGTAAGTCAGGACTGATTTGAGGGTGATAAGTTCTGTTTCCAGAATAAGTGTGTCGAACACTTGTGTGTTTTCTATGTGCCCAAGCACAGTTCCAAGTACTTTGTACAGCACTCTTGTAGAATGGGGGCCGTTCCTACCCTCCACCTCCCCACTTGATAGGTGAGGCATCTGAGGCAGATGAAGTAATAACCTGCCCCAGGGTTACCTACCTAGTAAGTAGCACAGCCCTGATACAAATCTAGACAGTCTTAGCTCAAGAGCCATGCTTTCACTTAAGTCTGCTAAAATGCTTTACCTAACAGGTAGTACATTCTTTAAAAACTTCCCAGTTTTTCCCTCGTGATCTCATAGGTGCTCTATGACAGGAGGGTATTTTTATCCTTATTTTCTAGGCATGGTAACTTGGACACACAGAATTCACATGACTTGTGTTAGGCCTCATAGCTAGGCCTTGCCTACATTGACATGGTAGATCTCAAGAAGTCAGCAATATTTATTTGGCTGGATTGAAATATGTATAGATATCCTTAAGATCTATAAGTGAGGAAATTGAATTGACTGAAATATATTATAATGTAAATTATTTATTTATTTATTTTTGTAATGTAAATTCTTTAAGAATTTTTGGATCAAATTTACCATCAATATCATGAGCACATTCACTTGGAACTACTCCTTTTTTGAAAGGGATAAATAATTAAAATAATAGCGTCTCTATTTATTCCTGCCTCCATTTTCCTTATTTCACATTCTATACAACTCTGAAAATAATCTCAACTGATCCATGTCCTTATTCTGCTGCTCCACTTAGATGCAGAGACTGGAGGACACAGGGAGACAGTGTCACCTTATGTCACCTCTTACATGTTGGTGCTTAATGACATTTATTGACTATAATTGACTATATTGTGGTCTTCAGCAAACCAAGGCTGCTTAGGAGTCTTTTGACCTGGGAAGTACTTTGCTTCACCCAATGGGCCTGCAGCTGTGCTTCCAGGTGAAATATATGTGTGGATAATCAGGAATTGAGACAGGTCAGCTACACACACCCCTACAGGGAACAAATGCAGCCTTTCTATCCACAGACCTTCTTCCTTCTGTTTTCAATGTGAGTCTCTCTCTCTCTCTCTCTCTCTCTCTCTCTCTCTCTCTCTCTCTGTGTCTCAACCTTTTAACCTCGTTCAAGTACATACTTATCTTTTTTGTCTGTCTCCTTCCATAGCATCCAAGAAGTCACTTGGAGCCTTTAGCACTGGAGCAAACAGAATTTCCCACTCAACTGGAGTTGTGCTATTGGAATTCCAGTGGGCTCTTTGTACCCATATTAGGGGACCTTTGTTATTTCCCATGGTCTCACTGTGACTTTACCCTAAGAACCCTCCTTCTCTGTGATACTTTCTAATGTGTTGCCTTCCTTGCCACTTCTCTAGCCTCTCTCATACCTTTCTAGTCCTTTTAGCAAAATCTCTCATAACTTTCCTACTCCCTCTTGGCTGGTGGAGCCCTTCATGATTGGTGCTTGGTTTGGGCCTTTCATGATTCCATCCTGTTTTAACTTCACTAGTCAGCCCTGACCATCTGAATTTTAGGGCACAAATAATCCACGGCTGAGAATCCATTTACCCATGAGGTAGCAGGTGCAAGCAGTCTCTGCTGTACTGTCGCAGTCTCTTTCTGATCCTCTCTGTCTCCCTACTCCTCTGCCATCTGAACTTGAGTTTCTGTGAGTGGCTTACCTTGCTGCCTTATATGCATGCTCTTTGCCCCCCACCTGCCCCTTTCATCCCTTGGCTTGCAGGGCTTTTCCTCCTCCTTAAAATCTCAGGTCAGTCTTGACCTGAGATTGGTATGTGTGTGGTAGGGGGCACAAATGCCACACATGTGAACCATTTTCTCCACGATTCTGCAGAAGTAAGTGAAAGCCCATAGGGAGATCTGTGTGGTACTGTCACAGGCCATCTCACCCAGGAATTTTTCTCCTGCCTCTTCACCCAGGTCACCCACAAGTCAATTTTTTGTTTTTTTGATGCAATATAACCTGTAGCTATTAACATGTTCTTCTCTGATAGTATATTACATCTCCTGTCCTTATTCTCAGCTCCTTACTGCAGGCTGCCAGCACCTTTGCGCATGGACCACTCCTTTCCATGGGCTGCTATCTCACTGCACCCATCACTTTCCACTGAACCTATAGTGGGTCCACACGGTCTCGGTGAGTCCATTCCAAGTACTTACAGCCAGATACACAGGGCTCTTGCTGATCTGGCTCCATGCTATGTAGTCTTACCTTTCATAGTCTAAACTGGAAACCTAGTTCTCCAGCCAGGCTAATTCTTTGCAGCTCAAAAGGTCACATATACCAACATCAGTGCCAGCCCTTTCCTGATGCCATCTCCTTCTCCTTCCCCTTTGCTTCTTCTGATATGGTCATGGTTCAGCCCATCCCCCTCATTTTCTTCTTAAAGCATAAACTTGTAGCTATATTTCACTTGCTCTGACACTTAAGCAGTTTGTGCTTTGAGCTCTCAACTGTGCGGAAAGGTCACAGATCACACCAGCATGTACTTCCCCACAGCACCTAGTATGATTCGTCCACAGATCATAATGAACAGATACTTGAATACATGGGTGCATGCATGAATGAATGAATAGGCTTTTGTAAATATTCTAGGGCTCAAGTTTTATATTCAAAGTCTAAAGTCACAGCTTTCTCAACTAAGTATACTGGTTTCCTGTCGAAGAAACCTACTCAGGGATTAGATTGAGCAGGTCAAAACCCAACATGCATACCTGTAATCTCAGCACTTGGGAGGTGGAAGCAGGAGGGTTGGGAGTTCAAAGCCAGCGTAGGCTACATAGCAAGACCCTGCCTCAAAAAAAAAAAAAAAAAAAAAGGAAAAAAAGAAAAGAAACTCAGTGTATATGACAGAATATCTCATGGTCTGATCTTAAAAATAGAATGGTTACTTTCTGCCTTACTGTTTAGAGATTTGTGAGTAGCTCTCCTTTCGATGAGCATTGGCTATAAGGAGAACTATATGGAAATAACTGAATTTACAAGGTTTGAAGGAGTGGTGGATAAGTTTCAGGTTGTTTCCATGGGATGAGAGTTTGTTCCTGTTGTTTCTAAGCCGAGTATCGGCATATCAGCACCATGAGGATATCTCAGTATCAGAGTGGAAACTTGACCCAATTGTACGTTTAACCCAAAGAAGCCATGTCATCCAGCTAGGGTTAGCTTGGACACCAAATGTGACCCTAAGGACTAATTGGAGATTGCAGAAAATAACTTTCTAGTTGAACTTCAGAGACTTTAGACAGAATTCCCTTTCCAGCCCAAAATAGCTGGGCAGCGTTGTCCTATTTTTATTGTAGAGTACACAGAAGATGGAACTCGGTATTGGAAGAGATGCTGTATTTTGCCAAGGAAGAAGAGCACACTCAACACGATCCTTATTTTTCTTGGCAGGCTCTTCTCAACCATCTGTGAGTCCAGGGGAACCGGCTCTTCCATCCATCCAGCCAGCACAATCAGAGTTAATAGTCAGCGCTGGCGACAACATCAGGCTGACATGCACTGATCCTGCCTTTGTCAAATGGACTTTCGAGACCCTGGATCAGATAAGTGAGAATAAGCACCACGAATGGGTCAGAGAAAAAGCAGAGATCACCGACACAGGCAAATACACGTGCGTCAACAGAGGCGGCTTGAAGAGTTCCGTTTATGTGTTCGTCAGAGGTAAATGATGGCTTCCCATGATGCTTTGCTTTAGAGAGCTGCATACCCTGTTCTTAACTTGGAATAACAGCTAGAATATTGGCTGGGTCTAGAAAGCTTAAGACAAATGTTTGCTTGCTGGCTTCCCACATCTTCTGATCTGTGGTAGCCTTGAGTGTGACCCCAGCTGGAGGTCACACTTGTCCTAATGAGATTACAGTTATGTTTAGTCCACTTGTCCTGGTACTCAGAGTAAACCCTGAGAATAAATTATGCCCTTTGTGAAAGCTGCATTTTAATGTCTTGAGATACTAGATATTCCCACTTAGTAAAAACACTTCAGGGAACCAAAAGCCTCCAGTGGCCCAAACAGGCCAGCACTTCAAAAGATTTGGCCCACTCCAAGGGAGTAAGTTTCAGAAAAATGACTCCACCAACTAAATATCCCTTGTCTGTCATAGGTTCCAAGTAGAGTTGATTCTTTAAAAAAAAAAAATTATGATCTCTTAGAGACAAAAGAAAAAGAGATAAGACCATGGGATTTCTATACTTCATCCTAGGGAGTTCAGCGATTCATCTGTGTGCCTTTGCTAGTTTGTTAAGAGCTGGTTAGCTGGGCACAGCACAGCTGTATCCTTTGGTTGTTATAAAAAAACTGAACTGCCGGCAGTTCAAGATACATACCCAAATTCCAGGAGGAAAAGTAAAGTTCTGATTCTAGTCCTGAGTGTGCCAGGACTGGGGCTGTCATTTAAAAAAGGCCTGGGAGGTACTGTTAAGTAGTGACAGGTACACTTACCACGGATAGAAGATCTGCTACTTCCCTCCATTCCCTCACTGAAGTTCTTGGGTAAGATGGCCTGCTCTGTCTTCCTTAGGGAATGGCTAGGGAGACAGAATTAAACAAATTTTAACATACTCCTTCAGGAGTTAATAAAGTGGACTCAGAAGATTGCCATGAAAAATTGATTGTGCCTCTGCTGAATTTATCTGTTGTCCTTTCCTGAGTGGGTAGCTGAGAAGTAGGCTCTGATAAGCCCCAGCTTAGCTTCAGGGTCCAGTTCCATAATTGTTGAGCTAACCCATGTGCTACTTGTGACATTTGAGATGGTGTAAATTTACCACCTGTAAATTCCAGGTGGTAATGAAGTATCATTCTGCTTATTAATAGGACGAACAGACAATTAAATACCCAAGGAAACCCCTGAATGAGCCAGATCAGTCACAGAACTCACACACTTACTTTCCAGGGAAAGTCATCTTCTGTAACTTAGAACTGTCCTTAATGCTGACTGATGTAAGATGTTTGGTACTTAAGTGATCTTTGCCACAGTGATGAAGGAAAGCCAGGCATTGTTAGAAGAGCTTGATTCTGATGACTGAGAAATTGTTCCCATCATAGTTTGACCATGGGAATTTTCTTAATCAAAATTAAATGATGAAACAGAGCTATATTTCAATAATGTCAAATTCATTTTAATGGGACAGCTGATTTCCAGATGGAAAGGACAGTTTTAAAACAGAATTTCAGTGTAATCTGTGGGCCCACTCACTTATCTATGTGATTACACAATCAGGGGTGGCATCCTATGGTGTCTATGGGACACACAAGTTTGTCTTTGCTTATGTGAGAGCCTCAGCTGTCAGAGCCTTTCCTTGTCTGTGCCTGGTGTCCTGACAATGATGTATAATAGTGTTGGTCCCCTTCTACTCACAAGCATGCTGGCTTAGGCAGTAAAATCTGCTATGGCATTCCTGAAAGTTACAAGCTCTTGAAATGCATTTGAAATTATTTGCTGACCAGAAGTTACATTATGTATTTCTTTCAAGGAACATGAAAGAGTGAGGCCCATAGTCACTTGGGGTGGGTGGTCTGATGAGGGTTTTCTAGAGTCTCTTCAGAAACTGAACAATCCTAGGCATGGCAGCTCTGGGAAGGGCCCCACCCAGAGGAGTTGAGAGGAAGGCACACCTTTCTCTGCTCTAAGAAGGAAATATCAGACTGGCTTATTCTCAGCTGATGCTCCTAGGGTATTACCTGTTGTAGAAAAAGAATAACTGTTTTAATAAAGTGTTCTCAGGGTTTCAGAGCTCAAATTTTGGTACCAGTCAGATCTGGGTTTGGGTTCTGCACAGTGTCAGGGCATGTCACTTGAGAATTATCATTTTGAGGTCTCAGCTTCTTCATCCACAAAATATCAGTGATACAGGTGGAGACATCCCTAATGCAGAAATCTGAAATCAGAAATCTTTTGAACACTATGACACTGGAAACATTTTAGGGTTTACATCCTTTACTGGTAACGTCTATGCTATGCAAATACTCCAAAGTTGAAAAAAAAAAGAAAACCTTCCAAAATTTTAAATGCTTCTGGTCCCAAGCATCTCAGATGAGAGACAGTCTGTACTACTGATCCCTGAGAAATGTTTTAAACATTAAATGAGAGAACACGTGTAATGGTCCACTGTTAGTACCCGACACATGCGTAATTAAATGTTCTCTCTTATTAGTTAGTACTATTTGGATAGGTTTTGCTTTTGCTTGCATAGAAACAAGTCATTTGGGCCCCCCAGGATCGCTGTCACATAAAGCAACATCTGAGCTCTTTGTAAAATGTTCTCAGTGTCTATAACCGACCCTCTAAGACTACTCACTTTTGATGTGTCCGTAGATCCTGCCAGGCTTTTCCTCGTTGGCCTTCCCTTGTATGGGAAAGAAGACAATGACACGCTGGTCCGCTGTCCACTGACTGACCCAGAGGTGACCAATTACACCCTCAGGGAATGTGAGGGGAAGTCTCTCCCCAAGGACCTGACGTTTGTCCCTGACCCCAAGGCTGGCATCACAATCAGAAATGTGAAACGTGTCTATCATCGGCTGTGTTTCCGGTGTGCTGCTGAACGGGCCGGCAAGCTGGTGTTGTCAGACAGATTTGTCCTGAAAGTGAGGGCAGGTAAGGTCCCTTCCTTACGTCTTTTGGTGGCCTGTTCATCTAGATGACTTCTCTCTTACTGGCCTCCCTTAGGGGAGTGATCAGGCTCTTGATTAGTTTACCACCCCCCCACACACACACCAAATAATGCCAGGTGCTTGTGAATTCATTTCACATTCGCAGCCCCTAGTGACTTCATGATGGTTGCTGGCTAAGGTGGGCGTGTCTGCCATAGATTGACATTTACAACATACTGGGATGGTCATTAAACCTGCTGGCTTAGGGCATCCCAAGGAGGATAATTACCTCAGGTGTTCCAGCAAGCTTTAATCATACTATTTAAAAAGATTAGTCTACAAGTGATTCCGTCTTCAGTTCAGTATTGACATGGGAATTGACTTTCTCTTTAGCGATTGATTTTGATGCATTCTCAAACTATGGGAGATCTGAGAAGGAAAGTATCAACTGACTGTGGACTGTTATTATTGTGACATTATGTGGGATTTTTCAGTAGCCGGAAGGTAATCTAGGTTTTATATCTGAGATTATTTAATTTAGCAATTGAGTACAGTTTATTTATTAAAGGCTTTTGAAAAAGTATGCTCATGGAAATTAAGAAAAATTTGATTAGTTTAGAATGCGGGATTTTTGGAAGCAAGCATGGTATTATTTATCTAGTGCATGAGAAAGATGGCTATTGGTTAAAAGAATGCAATTACTTGTAAGTCACATTCCCTGAAATCATCAAGGTTGTCTCATGTTACAAGTGCTTCACTGGCTGGAGGCAAGGCTCAAGCACCTGCTTAGCAAGTGGGGAAGCCCTGAGTTCAAACCCTAGTACTATCAAAAAAACAAAAAACAAAGTTGCTTCATTGTGCTAGGGTTTCTACCTGATTTAAAAAAACAATTTCCAGAAGCATTATAATCTCATAGTAGACATTCCTGTATTTTCACTGACTATAATACATTTACTTAAAGGATGCATGATTTAATTGCTGGTATTTTCAGGTAAGAAATAAAGCAGATACCTTAGTACCATACTTTGTATTTTACTTAAAAGATAATGAAGCTGTGTACATTTGAGGGGGAAAAAAAGAGGCAAGTTAAAATTTCATGCTATAATCAAGCTAATTATTTGAGCCATATTTTTTAAAATTCTAGCCATCAAAGCTATACCAGTTGTGTCAGTGTCCAAATCCAGCTATCTTCTTAGAGAAGGGGAGGTATTTACAGTGGCGTGCACAATAAAAGACGTGTCTACTTCTGTGGGCTCCATGTGGATAAAGGAGAATGGTCAGGTGAGTGAGTTGTTTCCTTTACTGTCTCAATCTCTTCTTCCCTCCTCCTCCTCCTCCTCCTCCTCCTCCTCCTCCTCCTCCTCCTCCTCCGGGGAGCATCCTGGGGTGACTCCACTGGAATGCCTATCCGATTGCAATGCCCCTGAGCGCACTCAGGTGTATACTCACCCTCCTGTACTTCCACATACACATTTATTTTTATTGGCAAACAACTGCCTTGTAAATTTATTTTGAGAAAGTTAGACTGACATCAGCCTCATCTTGTTATTTAACACTTGTTTTTTTTGAATGAGTTTAGTAGGGAAATTTTTCAAAAAGAATGATTGACAGCATAAATGTCTTAAATGAAAATTACTGTACTGCTCAGTCAGGCCAGCTTACTTAAGATAGTAGAAGGTTTCCAGTTTCTCCCCTCCATATTTATGAAGAATAAATGGTGTCAAATACAAACCAGAAAGCTTTTCTGTCCTCCAGAATAGCCTAACATGTGAGAGGTGGGTTATGTTTTGTGTGGCCCTGATTCTCTCCTTGGAGGCTGGTTACCTGAGATGAGGTTGTAATGGTTTTCTATTTGTTTTAGTTGCTATTAATAAAATGGTTATCTTTAGTCTGAAACAGCTGGACATATTTAGGTTCTCATTCATTTAACAAATGTGTTTTTAATGCCTAGATGTTAGATACCATGTTGGGCATATTTTAAAATTAAACAAATTTTAGCTAGGAATTATTTGCTTATTTGTTTTGCAGAGCTAATGATTACACCCAGGGCCTTGTGTATGTGAGGTAAGGGACCTACCGTTGAGTACACCCCCTGCCAATTTTAGCCAGATTTATTTGAAGTTTTTTCTCTCTCTAAATGCTCATATTAGTAACAAGGTTTATTACATTGTCTTAATTTTCCTTTAAAGTTCCCATTGACAGAATTTTAAGTATTTTAAAAAATAATCTTGGCTGTCTAGTTAACTAGCTGCCAGCATTTCTTTCCACTATACATGTATGTATAAATTACACTGGAAAAAAGAAATACTATATTTTACTCCTCCTCACGTCCTGTGTCCAACACTGGCAATTTCATGCCATTTAAGGAATTATTTGTTAAATAACCATGATGATTGGCACAATGCAAAGTCATGGAATTGGTATTCACGGAGACCTGCAGTGGATGCTCTCTTGCTAAATGAAGCCTGCCGTTGGCCTCTGGAATAAATTGTACTGGAGATTTGTTCTCTCAAGCCAGTGGCTTAGAGAAACAAGTTTTAGTTTTTATATACTATAATGTAATAAACATCATAACTTATGTATGGACATTTTGATTGTACAGAGTACAATACCATATTCATTGGCTTTCTATAATCCTTGGTTTCAGATGAAAGAACAATTTAGACTCTGTGTGTATGTGTGTGTGTTTGGGCCTCTGTATAACATGGAAATTAGCCTTTTTGAGACAGAGAAATTAAATTGCCCCAGGCGGTTTTCTTCTGAACCATTCCCAATTAATCCACTGACGCTGGTAGCGGAGCTTTTAGTGTGAGGAGCTCTTTGGGGAAGTCCCAGTGTGCACCTCCAAGGGTTAAAGAAAACCAAATCACATGCAAACAATATGGAGTGTGTGAGTTGCAGATGGGGTCCTGGCTCTCTGCCAAGGTTCACCCATGCATCTTTTATTGACATCCTTTGGCTTAATCTGGAATTCTGTTAGCACTATCACATTATTTTAAACATCCATAATGTTTGATCCTGACCATTTAGAGTAACTTTAACTCACAATGAAATTTAGGGTAAAACGAGGTTTGAGAGTTGTCACAATTACTTTGTTTAAGCATGAGAGGGTCTTAGAGTTTATTCATCACTCATTAATCTTGATCAGCTTTTCTAGTGTTTCTGAACACTAGTTTTTTTACTTACTTTTAATTGTGAGCTTGACAGCATCCTAAACTATGAGCTTTGGTTTTGGATGTTGCTATCAGTCACTTAACAGCCAAGTTGTTCCATCCAGCACCCACCAACTAGTTCAGTGTTCCTGCTTGCTGCCCTATTGTGGACTTTCAGGTTCTTGAAAGAAGAGGAGGGAAGGTACTTTCAGTCTAGAATACAGTATGCTATCTATCCATGGTCACTCTGCTTTTGGAGAGAAGTCTAAGAAGCAGAGACCTGGGAAAGGCCAGTGTGGAAATGTCACTTTGTGGTTGCAGTCTTTTTGCCTCTCTGCCATACACTGAAGTGGCAGATTTTTACCAGTTATTTGAAGGGGTAGCTTCAAATCTCCATAGCGTTCCACAGCGGAAAGGCCTTCAAAGACTCACTCGTTCCCTTGCACCTTTCTAAACAAAAGTTGTTTTGTTTGACTTGCCCAAGAGCTCATAGTTAACAGCAAAGCAGGTTCCTCTTTTTTTTTTTTATTCACCTTTGGCAGTCAACTGTTAGGTGTGCTTATTTTGATGTCAAAAAATTTCCAAAAAGTTGGGTTGGGATGTAGCTCAGTGGTAGATTGCTTACCTGGCATGTGCATGGCCCTGGGTTCAGTCCATAGCACTGAAAAAAAGTTCCTAAGTTATCATTGACAGTAGAAGAAAAAAGAGAAATAGGTATAATCCCATGTTTGTGGTTAAAACTGATTTGTAATCAAAGTATGTGTGCCTCCAGTGTAATGTAAACTTTCCTCAAAGGCACATTATAAAAAGTTAAAAACCAGTAAAATTAGTTTTAATTACATGTCTTATTTGGCCCAGTGTATCCAAAGCTGTTAGCATTTCATCCTATAATTAACATAAAGGTTATTTATAAGGTATGTTGCATTTTTATGCTATGTCATTAAAACCTGGGACATGTTTCTGTATATTTCTAAGATAACTTGTACTGCATTTCAAGTGCTCTATGGTCACAAGTGGCCAGTCTATAAATGCTATATAGCCTATAGTTTCTTCAAATTTCTTTTGTTTCTTTCTTCGTGCATCTGTATTATCACATGGTTGCAATTTCAAGGTATTCTCAATTTATGCTTTTCAAGTAATATAAACATTTCTTTTATTTTCTGCATTTCCAGAATTTTTATTGCTGTCTATACCTGACATGCATTTAGAGTGCTTCGAGTTTTCACTGCAGTCAACGTGCAGGAACTTTTGCTTCTGTTAAGTTACTTCCTTGAGATACATTTGCTGGAGTTGCCAGAGGCTATGAGCATCTTGCTAAGCTGTTTTCCAGAAGGATCATTATGATTGACAACACTGACCAATGGTCTAACTCTTAGGGCCACCATTGCCTAGCCAATGAATCACCCTTGATCTTGATCTTTGTCATACCAGTTCCTGTTTGCTTTCTTTTTCAGTTTTTTCCATTATAATAGGAATATATGCATGTTACAGAAAATTTGGAAAATGCAGAAAACTATATTTGACTCTGCTTAATCTTTTCAATAGAGTACTGTTATTTATATTATGCCTTTCCTTGGTATTTTAAATGCAAGCAGTCTCTCCATGTCTTTTCTGCAGACAGATAATAAGTTTGGGATGGTTATACCTCAACAGTACATTCATAGCCTTTTTTGTTCAGTTCATGTTTAAAGAGCTTGGTCCTTCCTGTCTCACCTCTCTTGCAGAGCTTTCAGAATTGTCAGAATTCTGCCAGTTAGGAACTGTAGGATGAACTTCCAAGTTAGTTGTAGACATTCTGATTTGATTTTTATTCCCGCAGATACAAAATGCTAATAAAATAGAATGTTATTGTTATTAGTGATGTATTTTCTTTGAACTGTTGGGATCCAGGACATAACAAAATGTCAATGTAGTAAGTATGCTGACTCATTGTAAAATATCAGTACCCTGTAATATTTCTTCAATAGTAACTTTTCAAATGTAATACGCAGAGAATTCGGAATTAATTTTCCTGGTTTTTTCCCAGTCATTAATAATAACTATCTTTCAATATAATCCTGTAACATGAAGGGTTCCAATGACAGCCTTGTCACGATGTTGTATCATTCCTACTTCAGTAGTGTATAATGAATGCTAATATGGAGAAGTTAATTGCTGCTATTTTTAATTTAGGAAAGCTCCTGAATATAAATTGTATGGTAATCTTTGATTTTTTTTTTTTCCCCTCTTTTTCTGAAATCAGAAGACTAAAGCACAGGTAAAACGTAATAGCTGGCACCGGGGTGACTTTGATTATGAGCGCCAGGAAACCTTGACTATCAGCTCAGCAAGAGTTAATGACTCTGGAGTGTTCATGTGTTATGCCAATAATACTTTTGGATCAGCAAATGTCACAACAACCTTGAAAGTAGTAGGTAAATATCTCTATGGGAACGTATAAACTACTGGCAATAGTGAAAGAAGAAATTACTAGATAGTTGCCTTTTTATGCTAATGGAATTCTTAGAACAGATTCTTAAGAATTTTATTATCACCGAATGAATGAATATTATCAAGCCCTGTAGCCTTTTGCAGCTAGAACACAACAGCAAATCCTACCAGCTTAGCAGAAGATAGTGGAAAACTGTTACTGAAATTTCACCCTGTCTGTCTTTGTGATACTTACCTTCCCTCCTCACCAAAAAAAAGTGTAAGTTGAGCTTTTTCTAAACTTTTAGTCCTTGCTCAATGACTTGAGTTTGGAACTGATTGTTGACTTCCTTTGTCAAGAAGCACAAAGGCTTGGAACCTGGAGTACTTCTCTGATTCATTTGGTAGGACTCTCTGCTTTTTGGTTCATTATTTTGTTACTTTGGGGCCCTAATTCAGTTGTGGTATGAGGTAAATTGGGCTTTCCCCACCTTGTAGTTTGCCTCCACCTCAGCCTAGTCTGCAGCTTTAAAGATTATACCATAATCCTTCAGGAAGAAGGGCTACTGGGCCATGGGGCATTGGTCTATACAGCTCAGCCTTAGAGCTGGTGCTCTACCCCCTGAGCCCATCATGTCTGCTGTGCAGTTGGTTCAGCCTCGTCTTCCCTACTGTAGAAATCCACTAAGAATTCATTTTTCAAGCTTCTACTTAAAGAGAGCAGAGGGAAGTGACTTCCTTGATGTTTTTGATTTACTGAGAAGGATATAAATTGCTTTTAAATTATGTCATTCATACTTTTTTGACCTTCTGAGTATTATTGAAATTTCATCTATTTTCCTGTTTTTAAAAAAAATTTTTCCTAATGGAAAGTATCTCAATAGACTGAACACAGAAAACACGCCTCCCTTGAAATTACAGAGTTAGCACACAGAAAGTGTACCACTTTGTCCCCAAACGTGGTTGTGAACCATTTATTAATTTTAATAGAAGGCTATGCTTTTAAAATATTAAACTCCATAAGCACTAATTTGCTAAGTTGATTAGGGAGCATGTTGATATATCATCTTCAGCTCCAGAAAGCAATTAGAAAGGATGTTTTGAGCTTATTGTTAAATGTAATCAGATTTTAAAAATCCATTCATCAATTTCCAAGAATCATAAATGTGTGACTGGAAAGTCTTGTGGCTATGCAATCTGAATCTAGTTTTGTATTGTTTCAGGAGTGGGGTGGGGTGGGACCAGATCAGGAAGAGATAAAGGGGACAGTTACTTTTTAGGGAGTAGGGCTAGAATTTGGATATAACCTGGAGTGGGAGGGAGACTAAGGCTTTGGCACCATTCTGACGAAATGTTTACATACATGCATACATACATATGCACACAGATGTTTAAGCTGCAGACAGTTCAGTTGTGTAACTTGATATTAAAGGCTACATATAGATATTAAAAAGTTGCTCTTGCGGAGCAAATGAACATGATTTGTCTTCTCACAGTTACCTTTTTTTGAGCAGCTAGAATCTGACCTGGTTTTGAGGTCAGGGCTCTGTTCCTTTATTTTCTGATGCACCCTCCTTTTTAATTTTACCTATATTTTCTCCTCCCACAGATGGGGAAAGGAGAAAAGGCAGATTCTTCTGACGTGTCAAGCATAGAGTTTGCACTTGATTAAATGTTAACATCTTACCAATTTCTTAATGCAGAAGAAAAAAATATATACTTATTTTATAACAAGTTGGGTGGAGTTCTTCAATTCTTTATGTTATAGCAACCCAGGCAGAATTCTAATAATTCTTACATTTCATGAATTTGAAGTTCGTTCTGCTATAAGATGTAACCCGTGAACTGGGGTTGTGGCTAAAGTGGTAGAGCACTTGCCTAGTAAGTGCGAGGCCCTGAGTTCAAATCACAGCACCACCAAACTAAATAATAAATAAAAGAAGATGTGACCCTATATTGAGAAAAATAGACTACAGCAAACCTAGGAGGAGTTAAGTATTTTATATATGATATTTATGAGAGAAGTAATTTCAGTGCAAATATTGTTGTTTGAAATATCTGGATATCTTGCATTGTATATTATCTGAATTTATGACCTCAAAAATCTGAAAACTTAATAAAACCTATAGATTAGAGCATTTATTCCCTTAAAATTAATCTTAATTGACTTATAGATCGGCAAAGGGTAAATCATTTATGATTTTGGTATTGAACAAGGAAAGAGTTTTCATCTCTCTCAGATCTTTATTTTGGGTGATTTGTTTATTCTCACCTGAAAAATCCTTTTTTAATTGGTACAATACACAAGGAACAATCAAATTTGTGTTTTTTATTTTGAACATATAGGAAACTAAAATATAGCAGTCTTATGTGGAACTTCAAACCATTTAACCAGATAGCATAAAAATGAATGATAATTTAAAACTTTATAAGTGGTTTTAAAAGCTTAAAAAGGACTAGAAGAATGAAATTAAAACTTTTTAAAGCCCCATTAACTTGATGTAACCATTTTAAAGATTTTTTTGGGTATATTGCTTATATTTTGTACATAAGAGTTTTAATCATGCATACAATTTTATTCATAGTTTCACTTGCTCTTACTTGAAAGCAAAGGCTCTAGTATACTATAGGAAAAGAGCCTGCCTTGGCTTCTCTTAGACCTGTGCTCAAGTCTAGGCTCTGCTATATAGCCTGCAAGCCAAATAGGGATCATCTATTTTATCTATAAATTACAGTTTACAAGTTCAGTCTGTACACCAGAGGTTATCTGTCTACAACTTCTTTTCTACACTTCTTGCAGTATTGTCATAAAAGCAAATACAGTTATTCAAAAAAATGTATACTGCCTAGGGCAGTTCTTAGCACATATTAAACATTCCATAAATTGTGACTATAAAAATAATATTGGCAATTATTTACTGCTCCTTTTCAAGGTCTTATGCATTATTATATAATGTGTATGTGTGCAGGTGTTGCTGGGGATCGAACCCAGGGCCTCACCCATTCTAGACCTACCTTCTACCACTGAGCTACACCCAAGGGCTGTAGTTTTTAACCAATTTTCTATTTTGTCATTAAAAATTTTTTATAGCTAATGTAAATGGCACTTGTTTTTCTGTCTCTCTACTCTACTTTGAGTTTTTTAGGATTTCAAACAAATTATAAGATTAGATTTAAAAATAGATAATTTTAAGAAATCTATATTGGTAAGTGCTCCGTAACTGAGCTGTGCCAGTTCACAGTGTAATTCAGTGTGCTACTTTTATCACACTTGCAAGCTTCTTGGGTTTATTTTAAATTAGTTGTGCTATTTTTAATAAGTAAAAAGTATATTTTAATTACTGGTTTAGCTAAACACTTTATAATGACCTTTTTTTCCTTGCCTGAATTTTAAAAAGTTTATGTATTCAAATTTGTTTTTTAAGATACTTTTCTTCTGTTGCTTCCAAAATGCCTCAAAACATTTCCCCCGTCCTTTCTTTTTTTTTTTTTTCAGTCTCATTACGTAGCCCAGGCTGGCCTCACACTTGTGATCCTCCTGTCTCAGACTCACTAGTGCTGGGATTACAAGTGGGCCTCACGGTGCCCTCTCCTCAGAAGTCTGACAGCAGTTAAAAATACAGTTTGTTGAAGTGCTATCTTTGATTGCTCAGTGATACATGGTATGATAAGACATACGTTTATTTTTCTTTAAATGCAAAATGAGATTTTCATCATTAGGACTCTGCTCTGTCTTGACTTAGGACACTTTCTCATTGCCTACACAATTCTGTTGGATCTGGATGTGGCTATTAGTCCAAGTGTCTTTTCACTTCATAAACATCAGCACTAGTGGATTTAGAAGACCTTTGAAACAGTGGTAGATCATTGGGAGAACTGCTTACAACACAGAGAGGGAGAGACACTTTCCCGTGTGTGTTCCTCACCACCATACGGTAGTGATTTGGCAAGAGCAAAGTGAAGGGTAGCATGCCTACTTCACATTCTCTCGCTGGTTTGTTGCCAGTTAATACTGGGAGCTAGTCAGTCTCTTTAAGATGTGGTTGTGATTTTTTTGTTGTTGTTCAGACAGTTGGGGCTAACAATTTCTATCTCATTCTGTTATAATTAGATAAAGGATTCATTAATATCTCCTCCATGATGAATACCACAATATTTGTAAACGATGGAGAAAATGTAGATTTGATTGTTGAATACGAGTCTTACCCCCAACCTGAGCACCTACAGTGGAAATATATGAACAGGACCTCCACCAATAAATGGGAGAATAACCCCAAGACTAAGAACGAAAGTAACATCAGGTAAGAAAGGGACCTGGCCTTGCGGGTTCCCCACCTGCCCATCTCCCACTGGCTGCCCAGGTCCTGTTTCTCTGACATTCTATCACATGAGAAGACATCAGGTAAGAAAGCCTAGGGCTTCCTCTTGAGTCCTCATCTGAATATCCCTTTTGCTGTGTGCAAGTGTGCACACACACACACACTGCACACACGCAAGTCTCTGCTTCGGTGTTCTCATTTGTAAAATGGAAGTATGTCTCTCCTAGAGTTCTCAGGATAGCCCAGCATGTATCCAGTACACACAGTAAATAACTCTCTTCAGATATAAAGCAGTTAGTACCTTTACTTGCTTCTTAAAACTCTAAGGAAATTAAAAAGCATTGAGTAACTTTGGGCCAGTCAGTGAAGTCAGGTACTTTTATATCATTACTCTTACTTGATCCTCAAAACAATTTAATAGTAGCAATAATATGTTTCTTTTCTTTTTGAGATAGGGTCTCACTATGAGGCCCAGGCTGGCCTCAAACTTGAGATCTTCTCTGAGTACTTAGAGTACAGGTGTGCACTACCATGTCTGGCTGGTAAAACTTTACATATGCTGCATGTGCTTTTCTTTCTGTCACCCATGATTCTAAGTACCTTATGTATATCAACTTGCTAATTTCAGTCCTCACAAACCTATGTGTAGGCACTCACTTTCCCCATTTTTATGGAAGGGGAGGCTGGGTACACAGGGGTGAAGTACATTGACGAAGATTGAATGACTAATAAGGGGCAGGCACCTGGGTAGAGTTTGTGTGTTATTTCAGTCAGGAGCCAATGGCTGTTGGAAGATTGTGGGTGCAAAGAGACAGTGCCCTGGGCCAAGGACTAAGGTTGAATGGAAATGGATGGATTTGGGAGGTGCCGGGGTGATGAATGGCATAGGAAAGGGAGGGGGGAGCTGAATATGCGGTTAGGTTGGGATCTTGAGTGGAAATGTCCACTTGACTTAGGTCAAGTTCCCTGACACAGGGATTATGAGGCTAGGGATTTAGCAAGGAGAGAGAAACATGTCAGGGAGTAGGGGAAGTAACCATGTAAGTAAGGGTGTGTGTGTGTTGTGTCGGGGGATATCCTTTGGGGAGGTCTGTGCACTGGGCTTTTGTACCTCCCCATGGCAGTCACTCACAGATGCAGGCTTAGTGGGCTGTCACTTTCTCAGTGGGTCTAAGTGTGTAGGTGTCAGGTGGGCCAAAGGTGGGAATACCGCACTTGCAGCAGGGGTGCATAGGAGGCACAGGACCGAGCCATCAGCGCAAGAGGCCAAGATGGGAGCAAGCAGCAAATGGTTTAGGGCAAGAGAACGAGTTATCCCCTGTGCTGTGAGAGGAGAGTGACAATCACACTGCATTTGGAGAGTTGGCTATGGGCTACCAAAGACACACATCCACATGGGGGCCAATGCAGGAATTCACTTGAGGTTGTGTGGTACCCAGTCTATACCACTATATCTTGTGTCCCTGAAGTAGAGCAAAAGTTTGAATGGTGGATACTTTGGGTGGTTCTGGGAAAAGACGCATGTGGGGTAGAAGGGGAACCAGGAAATTGTGGAACCACAGAAGCAAGGTAGGGGTGGTGCAGTACCTGGTGCTAAGTGCACCTGAAGGGTTTTATGAGGATGGAGGACCTGTGGATGCTGGCCAGGTTGGGGTTTCTCCAGGTGGGGGACATTAAAGCCAGGTGTGGCAGGTGAGTATAGAACACCTACAGAGGAAGGCTGAGAAAGCAGTGTGGACAGAGAAGGAAGTGGTCATGAGGGAGGCCCAGGACAGAGGGGAGAGGCTGCAGGCTCTCTGAGGTTGCCTGGATGGCTAGTAGGCCTTTCCCCACTCTCTTCTCACAGGGAGGGCATCCAGTGTGTGTGTGAGTGTGTTATTTGTCAGTATGGATTTTGTTACTACTGAGTTAAATAAGTTGTATTTTCCCCAAATAGGCATCTGTTTCTAGGTAGAAACTGAAAAAGACATGCCCTCCAGGGCAGGCTGTCCACAGGGGGTTGATTTATTGTCCTTTCTTTGTAGATATGTGAACAAACTTCACCTAACCAGATTAAAAGGGACCGAAGGAGGCACTTACACATTTCTCGTGGCTAACTCTGATGTCAATGCTTCAGTGACATTTAATGTTTACGTGAACAGTAAGTAAAACACAGGACTCCTTATCTTTTTAATTTTTTTATTATTGTAAGTTGAGGCTCGTGTCTGTAACAGCTGCAGAACTGTGTTCCTTGTGTGCTATGTAAATAATGTGTCATGATAATTTTGACCTTAACAAAGACCTCGTGGTCTGATGGTTAGAGGAGAAACCGATTTCTTGTCCTACATTTCAGTGGCCACGTGACCTTGTAGAAGTGGCACCAGTTCTGGGGGCTGCCTTTGAAGTAAACGGAGACATAGAAGTTGAAAATAACAGTAGTTCAAAAGCAAATGTATTTGGGAAACCAAATGTTGAGTGACAGCTGGGTTTTGGCATTGAGTGGGGGAAAGAGATGCTGTCCAACTCTGGCATGGTGTTTTTTCTGTTACGGTACTTCCTCTTTTCGGGTTGTGATACTATTTGTGTCTAGATTGTTCTCTCACTAAGATCAATGCAATATTGATTGGTCAAGCTCAGTGGGTCATCCCTGCACCCTGTGGGGGCAGTAACAGGTGCTTTGCAGGGGGGCTGTGTATGCTTGTTGGAACTTCACCAGAGTCCTGCACTGCTATGCCCCCTCCCCCGCCTTCCACCCCTTCAACTTCTTAGGGAAATGCCTGCACAGAGGCTGGAGCCAAGTGGATAGGAGCCCCAGCTAGAGCTTTGGCCAAGTGCAGGACTTCCTTGTGGCTCTGCTATGGGTCCAAACTGCATTTTCAAGGAAGGGTAGGCAGGTGTCCACCACACAGTTCCCACTAGAGACTCGGAGTTCCAAGGGGGTGGTCCAGTAAAAGACTGCAGAATTGGGACTCAACAAGGGACATACCCTAGAGAACAACTCTGTTTGTCCTCTGTGTGTTGGGGGACCAGAGGAGTGATGGGAACAAAGGCTGGGAACTCCTGCCCTGCCCTGAAGGAGCTACCTGCTGTGATTGGATATAATGATGTCATCTGACGCTGCAGCCCAGCCTGGGTGGTGGCCCAATCCTGTCTGGATAGGTTTTTGATTGCTAATCTAGAAGGTTTTGACTATATCAGCATTTCCAAAATTGTGCTCCCTGAATAAGATGTTAATATGAGTTGAGATAAAGAGGGTCACATGCATATAATGAAAAATAATTTTTTATTACCGGCCTTACTGGAATCCTTAATATGCTGATGTGTATTATGCTTCCCCAAAAGGGGGATCTGGGATGGAGCAAATCCTATACTTGTTTGGCCACAGTGGTCTCCCCTTCTGAGAGAGATGTTAATTAATATTTCAGTTCCTCAGAATAGTTTTGATTATTTGATATCATTGGCCCTCCATTCAGATATTTCTAGATTAATTCAAATGTTAATCAAAGGAGCTTAGGATATTACACATGGGCAAAATTATCTACTTCTGAAAAATCTTAATATTCAACTAATTTAAGAGATGACTGGAAAATCAGTATCCTTGCAAGTGTCATATGCAAATTGCTCCCGCAAAGCTGTATTCTGACTGTGGTAGGGCAGTTGGACTTCCACACTGTCTGTGGCAGAGGACTCTCCGCCCCCACTAAGAGACCCAGTTCATTGTGGATCAGTGCTTCTCGAAATACAGTGGAAACCAGTTACTAACGGATACACAGAATACTAACATGACCTTGTTTACTTATTAGACTCCAGACAAATAAAAGCTACTCTGTCCTACAGGTGGCCCCTTCTCAGTGTTGCTTCTCAGTTTCCTTGTCCTTCTCCTGTGGACATATAGGGCATGTGATGCACTGCACAGGCTCAGCAGATGGGAATTTTATAAGGTCAGGTGCTTTGGGTTTCTCTGTTTGCCTGGAATGCAGGCCAGAGGGACATTTAGATGCACCTCTTTCTCCTTATCTTCCTGCTTTCCACTGCCAGCATGTGACCTACCAGTGGGTCATGAGACATTGACCCCAGAAGGACATTTCTGGCTTTTCTCTGGGGAGCAGAATGGCTACCATTTTATTTACAAGGCTAATTTGCCAACCACAGGGTCAGTTATAATCACTTCTGCTAGGGAAGTCATGGCTCCTTTGAAACCAGATAAGATAAGCTATTCACTTCTAAAATGATCCCTCCCTGTTAGGAGGCCTGGGTCTCCAATACCTGCCAGTCTGGCTGTTGATTGAACTTCTGCTTCATCACGCTTAGGATACAGATGAGGATAAAGTAGGCTCTGCCCTCAAGGTTAAGCTCTTCAGGAAGTCTTTCCACTCATGTCAGTTTGTTACAAACACTAAACTGAGCACAGGCATTTATTCCAGGTACCTAACACCTTGGATTTCCAAATGCTTGAACAGAGCTAGCATTTTTATGTAACTGTCTGTCTCTTGTGAGCCATGTCTCAAATGCTTTGTACAGTTGTAGTTAGCTCATTCGTTGATTTTCATTTTTGGATTGAAGAAAAAATTTGCAGTTGCCAGTATTCGGAAAGATTTTTTTTATATTGGACTTTCAAATCAACAGCTAAAATCGTGTTAAAATTTCAAATTTGGAACAATTGTGTCTGTACTGACATTTTAGGTGAAGCAATTATGCACAGGTCTATGGTATGGTTTATTCTGCAAATAAGCTTAGCCCCAAGGGGGAAGGAATTATGTTTGCAAAAATTAGAATTAATAAAAGTCAAGATAATAAATGCAGAGGGTTGGTACAGAAATTCAGGCTGCCATTGACACTGACGCATAATTGCTTAATAGATTCAGCCATCAGAAATGCTAATGAAAAGTCCTGGGTTTGATTAAATGTTTGGTGCTTGAAAACTCCATTTGTTTTGTAAATTCCATAGGCAAATTTTCATATATTGAGTGGATAGGGTAGGGTGGGGGGTACAATCTTAATTCTTTATATGGGAAACTTAAAATATCATGATCATGTGAAGAGAACAAATAGCTAACATGTGAAGCTTGAAGGTGTCTTAATACTGGTTTTTAATTTCCCTAACCAAGCCATGATGTCCGTGGGCCTGTTAAACCAGCTCCATGACATTCAAAGAAGTTTCAGAGGCCAGGAGCTAGAACCCATCTGGCTTCTTTGAGTGGCACGTCCAGTGGAAACTGATGGGAGTTTTCGTTAAAAAACAAAACAACGAAAGTCAGTGAGTCTTTTCATCAAGTTAGTGTTAGCATAATTCTTGGAATTGCTTATTCAAGATGTACAGAGAAATCAAATTTTAGCTCTAGAAAGCTTGATACTGGTGATTTATTTTGCAAATGAAAACTGAGAGGAAAGAAGGGTTCTTAAAACTTAATAAACATCACTCCTTCCCAAATGTAGACACAAATGTCAGGAAGAAGTTACATCATTAGGATTCACAGCTAACCTGTATATCTAACTTAGCAAACTAGGATCTCTTTGGTTATAACAAATACCACCCAAGAAGGTTGTTTGTTTTTTTTTTTTAACCAGATCCAGGGCAAATAAAAGGCTAAATATATAACGTATCTTCTTGGCTTTTTCTCCCCCAAGTCTGAGTAATGGTTTTTAATTTCAAATATCTACATGAATCCTGAAGTAATTTATGTGATTACAGAAATTATGGTTAATATGATAGATCAATTATTTTTCAAGCCTCTGGAATGCTGTAAAATAGATCCAGTAACCTTAAAAGAATACTTCATACATGATCTGATAGCATTTCCCAATCTGTGTTATAAGTTGAAAGTATGTGGCAAAAAGTATGTAGGGTCATAAGTAAGTCTCCAATCTTAAAGTTACATCCTTTTCCTAATTTAATTTTACAGTTTTTTTGGAGATTTACTGGGCTTTGAAATCAGGCCTTGAGCTTGCTAGGCAAACACCCTGCCAGTTGGGCCACATCTCCAGCTCTGTTTGCTTTACTTATTTTTCAGATAGGGTCTTAGGTTTTTGCCTGGGTCAGGTTCAGCCTGGGACCATGACCCTCCTACCTGTGCCTCCCACATAGCTGGGATTATAGGCACAAACCATCATGCCTGGGTTGTTTGTTGAAATGGGGGTCTTGCTAATTTTTGCCCGGCCTGGCCTCAAATTGTAATCCTCCCTATCTGACTAGCTGGGGTTATAGACATGAGCCACTGCACCTGGCCAAAGTTATATCCTTTCGCAAGGAGCCCCAGCCAATTGAGGGGGGCTGCTGTGATTCACAGGTGGGAACAGGGAGGTAGATGTTGGGAACTAAAGAGTTCACCTTTCATCTTTGGGCTTGCATAACATGCTTAAAGTTAAGCTGGACTGGAAACCCAAATGACTGCTGGACTGCACCAAATTAACTCAAATGTCACCAATTCCACTCCATTTATGGAGGGTGTTAACGGAGGGTTGAGATACAATTTAAGGAAATGCTAAATAATGTATTAATTCTAAGTCATTGCAACATATAATTAACATCCTGTCTGGTGTTCCTAATTATTTATAGATCTCACAGTACACCTAAATCAGCCAGCATCATAAATCACCCAGAATGAAGCCTCTTGAAGCGAAAGTTCCTCTTTGACCACATTTGCAAAGTCTGGGCTGCCTTTTCTGTATTTTGGGTCATACTCAGATCCACTTAGAGGTGACTGAACCAACTCTAGTTAGAGTCATAGTCAGTGCAGCGACCTGTCGCCATTTGCCAGAACTGAAGGGAGATCTGTTGAGCAATGGCTTCAGACTGCCTGCCAGCCATCTGGGTCCCCCACCTAGCTGGCGTCTTCAGGCTAAGACAATAACGGCCGGCTCACCTTTAAGGACCACTGTGCAGTTTGGGGTATTTGGGCCACTGAGCCCTTGAAGAGACTCCTCATGAAACAAGGGGAGCAGTTGCTAGATCTTGGTCCCTGATGGACATTGGAAACATTTTCCTACCTCATAGCCTGTGAGCTTTCTATTTACTTTAGCTGTCGTCGTTGGTTTTGGGCATTGAATCTTGTCTTGCACGTGTTCCACCACAGAGCTACATCCCCACCCCCTGTTTCCAGTTTTTAAAAAAATGGTAGCCTCTTCCAAACACATGGATGTCCAAACCTTTTGTGTTTGAGA